AAACCAACCAACTCGAATGTGTGAAGTGAATACTTTCCAAATGTGTTAGTCTTTGCTGAGTAGTGCAACTATGAATTATAAGTGAAGAATCTGCTATTTAAGCTTGCTTCTTTGTATGTTAAGTTTATATTTTAGCTTTGTTAGATGCAAACAATAAATCTTAGAACATCTCAAACCCAGGATTTCTAAGTGAGTAAGAAAGTGACTTTCTATACTACCCTTATGCTACTTTTTTCTGGATTTAAACCAAGATGCCAGAAGGTGTTATCATTTTCTTACACTTGATATACTTCTGGTTATCTATCCATCACACAGTAGCTTCCTCATTTGTGTAGAATGTTCCTGGCCCACAAAAAAGTATTTTCACTGGAGTCAAAATTGGATTTAATAATTATGTGTGTTTATATTAAAATTATATAATGCTTATTATTGTTAGTATAACTGAAGTCACGATCAGAAATACTTGAAATAGCTGAGAACATCTGAGACTAAGAGGCCTCATTCAGAATCTGATACTCTTGCTGAACTGCATCAGTGAGGTAGGTATCTGGAAGGATAGATGAGGGTAATTGAATAGGTACATACATAATGATTCACGGTAACGTTTTCTAGATATGTATATATATGCCAGCCATTGTGTTAGATGCTTTATATTCAGTACATGGAATCCCCACTGCAGACTCTGGAAGTGGCACTATTTTTATCTGAGAGAGGCATGGCAACTTGCCCATGACCATAATTATGGTAACATTGGAACAAGTGTGCAAGTGTACTAGCCCTCACATGGACTGACTTCAAAGGTGATAATCCTAATTTCATATCTACATATCCATGCACTATCTTCATCAGAAGCAACTAGGTGCTCATTAAAAATACATATTCTTGGTATCCATATCAGATATTAAGTGCTTCAGTCTTTGAGTTCCAGTTTGGAAGTATAAGTACCTAACAAGTAACAAGAATCTCAGGTGATTTTGATACCGAGATTTGTAGTAAGGTATGTTGGTTCTAGATAATGAGACAGGATATCAAAACTAAGAAGGGAGGCTTCAATGGAAAAGGTGTGTAGAGAAATAAAGCAGTGCAATTTTCATTTGAAAAAGGCTCTATGAGAGAATCACTTGGGGGACTTTTAAGAAGCACCCATGTCGCAGCTATACCCAAGACCCGTTATATCTGAGTCCTGCACGTCTGTACCTTAAAAATGCTCCCCAGATGATTTTTAATGAGAAACCAGGTTTTTCACTAGCATAAAACTCTAAATATTTTTGGAAGAGTTTCTATTATTAAATGTGATCCTTTCAAAAAAATTTACAACAGTCCCTCTCGTCTTGTCCGTTACAAGCAGCAGCGGGTCCCGCGGGCGGGTCGGAGCGGCGGCCGCTGTTCCCGCGACGGTCGCTGGCACGGCGAGTGCAGTCCACGCGGCCGGCAGGCTTATTGCTGTTTAGCAAAATGACGCCAGTTAATCACGATAAACTTTATTTTCCTATCTGACTTTTGAGGGTGTAAGAATAAATGATCTTTACTTAATGTTTCCTCACAAAGATTCTCACTATAATTTCTTGTCATTGCACAAATTCCTGATAAGATGATGGTATATTTTACAAATGGAAAAGTCAGATTAAAAGCAAAGATTGATCTAAGAATTTTTAGATAAACTAAGCTTCATCACCACAGCAAAACCACTTCCTGCTCTCAAATAAACACACGTGCCTACATCCAGGACACACAGGCCTTGAAATGAGCCATCCTAGTTGACTGCAAGTTACCAAAATGTTTTCTGTCCTCTCCTTAGAAGTTATAAAGAACATTTATTGTTTATTTTAAAAATTATGTATTTTCCTCATGAGGGAAGGAGGGAGAAGTAGGAAAAAGTAATGTAAGGCAGCAAAATATACTTTAGAAATTATGTCTTTATTTAGAAACTCAGTGTTAAGGCATATGAAATGAGTAAACAAAGTATGTAACAAATTATTCAAAATAATTTGGTTCTACCATACTTTACTGAAAAGTCTGGCAGGTACTCTGTTTCACTGATTCCTTTCTAGAAAACTGCTAGAACTCTTAAAGAAATAAAATTACCCTTTTAGATAAATATTTATGTGCATAATTAATGCAATATGACTGTGAATGGAAAAATATCATAGACTTCCTTTTTACTTCAATAACTTAGAATATTTACACCTTAGTTTTCTAAATGTATTTTGCTACCTGAAATGGCTGCAATTACTATATTATTATATTTGCAAAGTAGATAATAAAACTTAATGTTGAATCTTAGACTATTGATACTTTAAAATAATCAGAGGCTAGAAAACTTATATAATTTTTGAATTTATTAAGTATTGCAACATTATTGGACCTGTTTCATAGAATGGTTATGTCCAGAGCCTCCCTAGAGGAAAATCAGTCTTTCTCCATAGGCAACCATCATCACTCCAGAGTGACTGCTTATAACAAATGCTTTTCTGAATCTCTTGCTGTGGAAAGGACCAGCAATACCAAAGTTATCTGCTGACTTGCAATTTTTTCCAAAGATATATGAAATTCTCCATTATTAAACTGAAGTTAAAATTACTTTCACAAAAATACTTAGTAGTTTCCTTTGCAAGGGAAAAGGTAGCAACAGACCTCATATTTTCAGAGTTGAAGATGATATTAAAGTTCAGTTTCAAAATTTGTTAAACAAAATTTAAGGACAGTTTTTAAAAATCTGGTTTTAAAAAGCAAATGAGTATAAGGCTTTAGCAAATTCTTTCTGGGAAAACATTCATCAATTAAGATAATATTCAAATATTTTCCTCTATTTTCCATAATGCTATTTATGTTTTCATTGTTTTGGTCAATTCTCAAAAGAAATCAATCACTACTTGGCAGTTTCAATGTATTATGTATTGCATATTTTCAACTGATTTTAGTTCTTTGGATGAATTTCAAGAGAAATAAGGCATTATTAATTGATCTACATATAACTGAACTATCAATTCCTTTTTTAGTGTCCAACCTATCATTATATAACATGCATAGTTTACTACCATATACAAATGTTTCATTGTTTCTTTCTAATCATCACCTGCAACCTGATATTCAGGTGTCCTAGTTTTGTATGAGCCTTTACATTTGATCAGTAGGGACACACTTTTAGGAGACAATTGACTATGATTTGCAACAGAATGAGTTTAAACTATCAAATAGGAAGTAACACATCATTGATGAGACTGATTATATTTGTTGTTAAATGAACTGGTTGAAGCTACCTCAGCAAAATCCCTGATTTTAAACGTATATATAAAATGCAACTAAATATTTGTTAACTATAACATTTACATACCAGTAGCAGATTTAAGTACACTATTTAGTGGTAGCTAATATAATCTCACCCAACACAATCATCTATGTAATTAATTTAGCTCTTAACTTATTTTTACTTTATGATAGTCTATACATGAACTAGTTAATACATTATAATGGTAGAAAATATTAAAAGTATGAAAAGATATATACAGAAAAGTTTCCCTTATAGTTTTGCCTTCCATCAACCCAGTTCCATCTTCCTTTACACCTTGGTGATCAGTGAGCCTAGCATTTTGGGGGGAATGACTCCTTAAGAACATTTGCTGCTATTCTTTGGCACTGTCTGTTTAGATTTTTCTGTCTCTATATATGAGATTTATGGAATATATCTCCATATATGTGGTTTCATTTTGGCTTCTTTTTCCAAGGTTGGAGATCTTTTTCCCTCTTACTACAAGGAAAAATATTCCAAGACCTAAGTGGATGTCTGAAACTGTGAATAGCATTATATACTACATACTACCCTATGTATACTATGTTTTTTCCTATACTTATATATGTATGATAAAGTTTAATTCAAACATTAGGCACAATAAGAGATTAACGACAATGGTAATAAAATAGAATAATTCGGTAAAATAAGGGTGATCTGGACACAAGCATTGTGATACCACAGTAGCCCATCAATAACTGGGAGGGCTACCAAGTGACTACTGGGTGGAGCGTGCACAGTGCGCATGTGCCGGACCAAAGGCTGACTCACGTCCCGGGGGGATGGAGCACAGCAAGTGCGATCTCAGCACGCTCCTCAGAGCAATATGCGGTTTAAAACTTTTGAATGGTTTGTTTCTGTAATTTTCCGTTTAATATTTTTGGACTGAGTGCAACTATTTGAAACTGTGCAAAGCAAAACTTCAGATGGGGGTGGAAGGACTAATATATCTTATATACAGAAGAGAGTTGGCTTAGCTTTGTGACCCACACTGAATATTTTTTTCTCTTTAACACAAGAGGTAAGCCCTTTACATTGTCCATATGGCAGAAGTTGTTTGTCATAGCTGTTGTCATGTTGTTTTGTCATCTTCTAACTGCTATCAGGCTCGGTAAAAAGTCTTTCACTGGTGAGTCACCTAGTACTTTACTTCTTAAGCCAGTTATCTTTTTTTTCTTCACATGAGCATTTGTAAAATTAGTTTATGTCTTTAGCAATATTTTATTTCTGCTTTTAAACTTATCTTTTAAGATTTTTATTTTTACTATTAATTTCATAAAAGTATTGCCTGATTTGTTAGCTTTACATAACATTCCTTTAGTCTAAGTTGTTATACGTAAAGAATTAATAAATATATTATCCTTACTACTGTCTTTTTCCTTCTTTTATCTCTAATTTTATTACTGTGGTTAAGAAAACAACATTTATATTCGTCCTCGCTAGTCCTAAATTCCGTGATTGCATAGTCACATCTGGAGAGCGAGATTCAGGCTCTAGAGAAATTGCAGGTTTGGTTTCAGACCACCGCAATAAATGGAACTCTGAAATAAAGCCAGTCACACAAACTTTGATTTCCGAGTGCATATAAAGTTATATTTGCCCTACGTTGCAGTCTATTGTTTAATAGCATTATATATAAATATGTGCATACCTTCAGTTAAAAATAATTATTGCTAAGGAATGCTAACAAGAAGTTACACCTACAGGAAGTCGTAATCTTTTTATTGGTGGAGAGTCTTGCTTCGATGTTGATGTAGCCATCAACGGCTCATCACCACTCATCATCGTGGTGGCTGCTGAAGTTTGGGATGACTGTGATAATTTCCTAAAATAAGACAAAGAAATTTGTTATATTGGTTAACTCTCCTTCCATGAAAGATTTCCCTGTAGCATGTGATGCTGTCTGATAGCATTTTATTCACAATAGAACTACTTTCGAAATTGGAGTCAATCCTTCAAACACTACTGCTGCTTTATCACTTTTATGTAGTATTCTAAATCATTTATTGTCACTTTAAAAAGTTAACATCTTCATTAAGAGTAGATTCCACTTCAAGAAACCACTTTCTTTGCTCATCCTAAGAGGTAACTCCTCATCTGTTCAAGTTTTATCACGAGACTGCAGCAATTCAGTTACATCTTCAGGCTCCACTTCTACTTCTAGTTTTCTTGCTATTTCCACCACACCCACAGTGACTTTCCTCCACCAAAGTCTTGAACCTCACAAAGCCATGCTTAAAGGTTGGAATCAACTTCTTCCGAACTCCTGTTTGGTGACATTTTGACTTCCTTCTATGAATCACAAATGTTCTTAATGACATCTAGAATGCTGAATACTTTCCAGATTTTCAATGTACTTTGCCCAGATGCATTAGAGGAATACTATCTATGACAGTATAGCATTATGAAATGTATTTCTTAAGTAATAAGACTCGAAAGTCAAAATTAGTTCTTGATCCATGGGCTGCAGAATGGATATTGTGTTGGCAAGTATGAAAACATTATTCTTCTCCTTGTACATTTCCATCAGAGCTCTTGGGTGACCAGGTGCATTGTCAATGAGCAGTAATATTTTAAAAAGATTTTTTTTCTCTTGAGAAGTGGGTATCTACAGTAGTAGTAAATATTTAGTAAACCATGCTGGAAATAGATATGCTTTCATCTAGGCTACTAGTTCCATTTATAAAGCACAGGTAGAGTAAAATTAGCATATTTCTTAAGGACCCTGGGATTTTCAATATGGTAAATTAACATTGCCTTTAATTTTAAATCACCAGCTGTATTAGCCCCTAACAAGAGAGACAGCCTATTCTTTGAAGCTTGAAGGCAGGCATTGACTTTTCCCTAGCTATGACAGTCCTAGATGGCATCTTCTTCAAATAGAAGGTGATTTTTCTGTATTTAAAAATCTTTCCTTTACTGTAGCCATTTTCATCAATTACTTTGGCTAAATCTTCTGGACAACTTGTTGCAGATCTGTTTTGCACTTTTATGATATGCTGATGATTTTTTCCTTAAACCTCATGAACTAACCTCTGCTGGAGTCAAACTTTTCTTCTGCAGCTTTCCTATCTTTCTTAGCCTCTATAGAATTTGAGGAGAGTAAGGGCCTTGCTCTGGACAAGGCTTTGGCTCTAGCAAATGTGGCTGGTTTGACCTGCAGTGTAGACCACTCAGACTCTCTCCATATAAGCCATCAGACTGTTTCACTTTCTTACCATTGTTGTGCCCACTGGAGTAGCACTATTAATTTTTTTCAAGAATGTTTTCTTTGCATCACAGCTTGGCTAACTGTTTGGAGCAAGATGCCTGGCTTTAGGCCTATCTTGGCTTTCAACAAACCTTTCTTATTGAACTTAAATAATTTCTAACTTTTGATTTGAAGAGAGAGGTGTGTAACTCTTCCTTTCACCGGAATACTTAGAAGCCACTGTTGTGTTATTCATTGACCTACATTCAGTATTGTCTCTGAGGGAATAGTGAGGCCCAAGGAGAGGGAGATGTACGGGAGAATGCCCAGCTGGTAGAGCAGTCAAAACACAGAACTTAGGAATTAAGTTCACTGTCTTATATGGGCATGGTTTGTGGGTTCCTGAAACAATTGCAATAGTAACATGGAAAGTAACTGATCACATATCACCATAACAGATATAATAAAAACAAAATGTTTTAAACATGGCAAAACTTACCAAAATTTAACACAGAGACATGAAATAAGCACATGCTGTTGGAAAAATGTCACAAGTTGACTTCCTGGTGGCAGGGTGGCCACAAACCTTCAATGTGTAACAATTGCAGTATCTGCCAAGCACAATAAAAGAAAGCACAATTAAGGGAGGCATGCCTGTATATTTAATACCCACTCTTAGTTCTGGTATAACAATTTTCCTCATCATCTTTCTTGAAATCTGTACTCTTATTATTTCCTAGAGAAGGATGAAAAGGAAAAATATTTTCTGAATTTGTATATACCTTAGTGTTTGGCCAGTGTCTTTGTTCCTTAAAGATGTTTTATTGGGTTATAGTTTATTTTTCTAAAGGCTACATAAATGTTATTCATCAATGTTCTAGCATTAAATGGAGAAATCTGAACCTAGAATGATTTTTGTCTGTGAAATTGATTTGATTTTCCTCCTTAGATACTGAAAAAACCTTTACTTTATATTTAAAATAGTTCTCAGTAGAATATCTTTGCATTAACTATTTTTTTTATTTATTCAGGGTATTATGGGGGTACAAACATTTTGGTTAAAACATGCACCACATGTACTTGCATTAACTATTAAATCTCAAAATTCCCTATACTATAGTGGTTTCTTTCAGTATGTAGCACTAACTAATCTTTTATTTTAGATAATTTTGTATTGAATTATAGCTTGATTTTCTTCATTGGAGACTGTTTTTTGCATATGTTGGCTCTTTTGTATATTGTTCTACAATTTCCTTTCTGGTATTTATTAACACTGCATTTAAATTTTTATTTCTTCTTTCCTTTGATTCATTTCATTGATTCCCTTTTTCTCTTTCTTTCATTTTTTTCTTCTATTTCTATTATTGAATCCCTTGCTTTGATTTACATAGTGACAATTATTCTTTCCTTTTTTTTCAATTCGATGTTTTTGTAACTATTTTTTTTTTAGGTATTTCATACTTTATTTCTGTCAGCTCATATTTTATCTGCTTCTGTTTTCTTCATTGCTTACCTGAATTCTCAGAATTCTCCCTTGTGATATTTATAGAGCCACTTACTTTGTAAATTATATTTAAGTTCAAAACAAAATATCTGTTAACCATATTTTGGACATTTTTTTTTGGTAAGTGTTCTTCAAAGAAGTGTGATTTCTTTTGGGGATGTTGAAACAGCTGCCCAAAGTGATTTACAGATTCAATACACTCCCCATCAAAATACCAATGTCATATTTCACAAATCTAGAAAAAAAATAATTCTATGCCTCATTTGGCAGCAAAAGAGAGCCTGAGCAGCCAAAGCAATCTTAAACACTTCGGTTACAGCTCTCACCGGCTATGAAACCTTGCCCACAGCTGGCACTCACAGTCCGCACAATAGCTTGTGCTGTGCATTGACGACCAATCCGTTTTGCTCTTGTGTAATGAGGAAAGCTTTAAAGCACTGACAGCTTGTTTTACTTTACAGGCAGATTTACTTGTAATTTAAATCACAATGGGTAACATATACATATATGTTTTCATTACATTATTTTTAAATGTTCACAATTTTATTTTGATAAATGAAAAATTAGAAAAGTCATATCACGGCTGTCAGCTAAAGTCGCTGTGCGTGTTCATCTGTGACTATTGACTATAGTCGATGTTCATACTGAAGTGGTTTAGCAGAAAAGAACAAATCTGGAGGCATTACATTACCTGACCACAAATTATGCTATAAAGCTTTAGTAACCAAGACAGCATAGTATTGGTATAAAAGGAGAAACATAGACCAAAATAGTGAACCCAGAAATAAAACCATCTACCTACAGTAGATGGTTTTATTTACAACCAACTTATCTTCAACAAAGTAGACAATAATACACACTGGGGAAAGGAAGCCCTATTCAATAAATGGTGCTGGGAAAACTGGATAGCCACATGCAGATGAATGAAACAGGACCCCTGTCTCACACAATATACAAAAATTAATTCAAGATGGATAAAATGCCTAAATGTAAGGCATGAAACCATAACAATTCTAGAAGAAAACATAGGAAAAACACTTCTGGACATCAGCCTAGGCAAATAATTTATGGCTAAGAACCCAAAGGTAAATACAACAACAAAATAAATAAATGGGACTTAATTAAATTAAAAAGCTTTTGCACAGCAAAAGAATTAATCTACAGAATTAATAGACAACTTACAGAGTGGGAGAAAATATTTTAAAACTATACATCCAATAAGGGCTAATATCCAGAGTCTACAATGAACTCAAAAAAATCAGCAAGAAGAAAACAACCTTATTAAAAGTGGGCAAAATACATGAACACATTTTTTTTCAAAAGAAGATAGATAAATGGCCAAAAAATATGTTAAAAATGCTCAACATCACTAATCATCAGGGAAATGCAAACTAAAACCGCAGTGTGATACCACCTTACCCCTATCAGAATGGCCATTTCTGAAAAGTCATAAAACAATAGATCTTGGTGCAGATGTGGTGAAAACAGAACATTTATACAGTATTGGTGAGAATGTAAATTAGTACAACCCTTTTGGAAAACAATATGGAGATTCCTCAAAGAAATAAATGTAGACTTACCATTTGATCTATCAATCCCACTACTGGATGTCTATCCAAATGAAAAGAAGTGATTTTATCAAAAAGGTACCTGCATTCAAATGTTTGTACAATTTGCAATTACAAAGATGTGGAAACAACCTAAGTGCTCATAAATTCATGGATGCATAAAGAAAATGTGTGTGTGTATATACACCATGAAGTACTACTCTGCCATTAAAAGGAATGAACCAATGTGTTTTTCAGCAACTTGGTTGGAAACAAAGACTGTTATCCTAAGTGAAGTATCTCAGGAATGGAAAAAAAAAAAAAACAGCACATACAGTCTCTAATAATCAGGAGCTAAACAATGGGCACACAGGAGCAAAAAGAGATGTAAAAGATATTGGAAACCAAAAAGGGGACAAGGTGGGAGGTGTTGAATGGTAAAAATCCACCTATTGAGTACAATGAACACTATTCTGGTGATGGGAGCAATAAAAGTTTCAACTTAAGCATTATACAAGGTAGCCCCTTAATATTTTGAAATTTAGATTCTGTGAAGAGACTCCTGGAATTGATAAATATTCAGCAAAGTCTCAGGTTACAAAATCAATGTACATAAATCAGGACTCCTATACACCAACAACAGTCAAGCGGAGAATCAAATAAAAAAAATCAATACCTTTCACAATAGCTACAAAGAAAATAAAATACTAGAAATACATTTAACCAAGGAGATGAAAGAACTCTACAAAGAGAACTACGAATCACTGAGGAAGGAAATTGCAGATGATGTAAACAAATTGAAAAACCTATTATGCTCATGGATGGGCAGAATCAACATTGTTAAAATGTTTATACTACTCAAAGTTATTTACATATTTAATTAAATCCCCATCAAAATACCAATGTCATTTTTCACAAATCTAGAAAAAATAATTCTATGCTTCATATGGAACCAGAAAAGAGCCCTAACAGCCAAAGCAAACTTCTGCAAAGGGAACAAATCTGGAGGCATCACTTACCAAACTTTAAGCTATACTACAAGGCTACAGTAACCAAAACAGCATGTTAATGGCACAAAAATAGACAGATCAATGGAACAAAACAGAGAACCCAGGTATAAAACCATCCACATATTGCCATCTGATCTTTGACAAAGTAGACGGCAATATACACATGGTGCTGGGAAAATTGGATAGCTACACGTGGAAGATTGAATCATATCTCTCACCACTCACAAAAATTAATTCAAAATGGATAACAGACATAAATGTAAGACATGAAACCCTAAAAATGATAGAAGAAAATGTTGGTAGATATCGGCTTAGGCAAAGAATTTATGAAGAAGACCCCAACATTCAGAGCAACAACAAAAATAAATAAACAGGAATTGATTAAATTAAAAAGCTTCTGCACAGCCAAGAAAACAATCAACAGAGCAAATAAACAACCTACAGAATGGGAGAGAACATTCACATGCTACACATCTGATAAAAGGTAAGTGAACAGAATCTACAAAGAACTCAACCAAATTAGCAAGAAAATAAATCAAATAACTATTAAAAAGTGGGCAAAAGACATGAACAGAAGATTTTTAAAAGAAGATAGATTAATGACCAATAAAAATATGAAAAATGTTGAATGTCACTAATCATCAGAAAAACGCAAATTAAAACAACAATGAGAAATCACCTAACCCCAATGAGAATGGCTTTTATCAAAATGTCCCAAAATAATAGATGCTGGTGTGGATGCAGAGAGAAAGTGCTTGTACACTGCTGGTGGGACTGCAAACTAGTGCAACTTCTGTGGAAAATAGTATGCAGATTCCTCAAAAAACTGAAAGTATACCTATCATTTGGTCCAGCAATTCCACTACTGTATATTTACCCAAAGGAAAAAACGTGATTTTATCAAAAAGACACCTGCACTAGACTGTTTATTGCAGCAAATTCACAATCACAAAGATGTGGAATCAACCCAAGTGCCCATTAAATCATTAGTGGATTAATAAAATGTAGAATATGTACATAAGAGAGTACTACTCAGCCACTCACAAAAAAAACGAATTAATATCTTTTGCAACAATCTGGATGGAACTGGAGACCATCCTAAGTGAAATATTGTAAGAATGGAAAAACAAACACCTCATATACTCAATATTTAATTGGAACTAACCTACTAGCACTCATGTGCACAAGCGGCCATAAAACTCAATGGAAATCATACAGGTGAGGGGGGGAGGAGTGGATGGGCAAAACCATAACTAATGGGTACAATGTATACTATCTGGGTGATGGGCACATTTATAACTTTGACTGGAGAGTATAAAAGCAATCCATGTAACCAAAACATTTGTATTCCCATGATATTCTGAAATTAAAAAAAAATATTTTAAACAATTAAAGAAATGAAAAATTAATAAATAAAGTTAAATGTTAAAAAAGTATAATTTTCTGATTTCTTTTTAATTTTTCATATAATATTCTTCTAAGTGTGCTGTGTGACTTCCTTTTTGGTACTCATATTTGACTGTGGAAATTTTCCTGGGTAAGCCATTATG